CTGACTGGAGATGTATTTTTTTTTTTTTTTTTAACCCCCTGCTTCCTGCCTCGGTGGGGCTTATGTCTGAAATTTCCTGTTTCAATGACTTATGTTCAGATGAGACGTTTAGAAAGGCATCGGATCTGACAAACTGTTTTCCATCTGGAAGAAAAAAAAAAATTGCCATAGATGCTCACAATTGTTTGTTCCGGAAGGTTCAGATCATATCTGAAGTCCTGTAGTGCTGCTGGCTATGTAACAAGCTCAAATGTTCGATTCTTTTACCTGCTATCATCAGGAATAAAATCAGGTAGTTATTGCTAACCTCCTCACTTTTAATCTTGGAGACTGACAACAGTATAAAAATTCAGAGCCTAAAAAGCCCCTGTGAAAGGAATGGTTCACATTCAGAAGCCTTTGACTGTTAATGTTTGGAGCACTGAAACAATTAAAACCAGAACATAGTTGTTGAGTTTGTACTGAAGGAGTGAACTTTTTGTAAATTGTAATCGATGCAGTATTGAGCGCAGTGCAAATGAAAACACTGTCATAGCATATTATTTCTATCAGTAAATTGAATGCCGTTCCAATAACTACATGCATGCAGCAGTGGCTGAACAGCAGGGCTGAACCCCCGCAGGACGCTGCGGCTGGTCTTGTTAGTTCTGCGTGCGACGCCAGGAATATGTGGCTCATGGCAGGAGGAGTTGGTGGAGGTATGCATCATCGTGGGGCAAACTGAAATGACAATGCGGTTAAAGTTCTTGCAAATAGAAAAGCCAAAGAAAGACAAGATTAATAACTCCTTATGCTGTATCATGTGGTATCTGACGATGCAGCGTGTTCTTGATCGTCCCTTTAGTCTTTGTCCTCCTTGCTCTTCATAAATAAGGAACGGCGAAACAGTTCTGCCTCAGACCTTTGATTGTCCGTGTTCTTCCCCCTGCAGAAATTTGTACATCTGTCTTTGCACGTGTATAAAATATGCATGTGTATGCAAAACGGGAATTGGCAAAAAACCCCAAAAGCAACCAAAAAACCCCAACAACAAAACCCCCTGTCAGCACCACAGTTCTCATTGTGCCAGACAGCATTATAGTGGTAATGGTTTAAATGCAGGAGTTCCACCCCTTCAATTACCAGCGCCGCTTCCTGCCGGCAGCCAATGAAATGGAAAACAGCAATATGTTTTCTGTGCAAACAGGCTATCCTCTTAGATTCACTCTTCTTTCCCATGTGGTCATCTGCAGAATGATTAAGTGCACTGGTGAGACAAGAACGCATTTTGTGTGAGTCAGACAAAAAGTGATGCATCCGTGGACTATTGATGAATATGGGATATTTGAAGAAAATCTTAAGCGACTGCTTTAACAAATGTGGAATGACATTGCTCTAGTGTGTGCAAAATGGGGGTCGCTCATACAGAGAGAAATCTAATGAATATTTTTTCTTTTTTTAACATAAGCTGGGGCGGGGGAGAGGGAATGCATTCAGGCAAGGTGTAGAAATGGCAGCTAAGTACTGCTGGTAGCATCTGATGCAAGTAGAATTTGGAGCGGTGGCAAGTTCATGCGTTTTTAAGTAATACTTAGTCTTGCCAGCGTAGTGGTTGCTTCTGAAATTTTGAGTGTTGAACCCTATAATATTTTCTAAAGTAGCTCATCTATAAATAAGCTTTACATGCTCTCAGACTTCCTGCAGCATTTCATGGTGAAAACCAGTATAAATATTGCTAGACTATGACAAACGTTTTAGCCAATCTTTAAATTAATGGCATAGGTACGTGACCAACAAGTATTTGTTTTGGGATGTGGTAGGGTTTCTTTAACTGTTCAATTACTTAATTAAATAGTGAATTACAGCGTAAAACCTGTAGATTTGATGGAATGCATATAAAATTTCTGGACAAAAAAATTAAAACGCGACTATTCTGATACCTGTGTGAATTTGTAAAAATGAGCCTGTGATATTTAATAAAAGTAGCCATTAATAATTATCAATACAAACATTGCTGTAAATGTTGTAGTCTTATGCTGTTATCATATAACGCGCTCAATATATTGAAAGATGTAAACCTCAGAACAACAATGCTAGAAATTCTGTAAGAAAAGTGAAATTGCACTGCTTACTTTCCAGTTAGGATGTAAACCCTTTTTTACTGAAAACCAGGTTCCCACTATTTCACATCTTGTAGGGGAATGGGACTTACTTCAGTAATCCGTGTCACCTTGAATCTGCTTTTCAGTTGAGAAACAGGCAGGGTTCATATGGGAACTGTCAGACACAACTGGGAGTTGAAATTGTGCCCCGAAGCCTAGTCCCACAGATCACCTGCATTTTTCCTGTTGGCCTTTGCTCTAAAAGCTCTTATCTCCCCTTGCAGCGGTTTTCTACTGAAACTTGTCCTCAGGTTTGTTTTTTCTTTCCTGCAGGTGTGGGTCAGGTGGTGCTTCAAGTGGCTGCAGCCACAAACTGCAAACATCACTATGGTGTGGAGAAAGCTGATATCCCAGCCAAATATGCTGAGGTGAGTGTTTTTGAAGTGAGCTGTGTGTATATGCCTTATTTGCAGGCTAACTCGGTGGTTCAGCATTACTGTTAAGTGTTGTGCAGGAAGAAAAGCAGTTTCAGTCCTAGTTGCTCTTGCTTCTCGGGTCGGTAAGACCTGGAGCACAGCATGCTCGGGGAAAGAAGTGTGTGTCTAGTCGTTTGCTAGCCGTGCTTGCGGAGCGCACAGAAGGAACATTTGCATGTTTCTGAAGTGATTTCAGGACCAGGAGATGTAAAGCTGTTTTAACAGTAACGGCGTAGGACCTATTGAAAAGGAAGCGCAGTGTAAACTTCACCTAAACACCTGCAATCATTCTGTGTCTGAAATGGCTCTAACACAGGGCTTCCAGAGACCGTGGCGTTAAGCAAATCTAGGAATGAATTCACCAAATAGTTCTCAAAGTTTTTAAAGGCTATTTTTCTGTTACGGTAGCGATGCCCCTTTCTGGTGTCCTAAAGCTGAAGTTCAGCTTAGTTATTAAACTGTTATAGGCTAATTGATGAGGCCTGTGTTGGGTATCTGGTTAGTAACTGTTAGTAGGCACCTAAATGAAGTCTTATTATAAGAAAACCATAATGTTTAGTCAGGCAGCCAGTTTTCTTTACACTTTTTAATTCTGTGCCAATGGGGACACACAAAGATAATCAGTTCCGAGGCAAACCTGGAAGGCAAATGAGCCACAAGCAAACAATAAAGGTTAGTCATGCCTTACCATAAGAAGTTTACTTTCTTCAGTAAACTGAACAGAAACTTATTCCTCCATATTGTTAACACAAGCTGACTCAGTCTGTACAGGCTAGAAAATTATACCTTATGAAGGGAGAGGGGGAAAAAAAAAACCCGTGATCCTCCTTTTCAGTGGTGTGGGCAAAAATGCATAAACACAGTGGTGAAGAGGATCAGACAAGGATCTCAAAATCCATTTTGTTTCCCCTGCCATGACCCAGTGGAAATTTCCAACTGGAATGCTCTTTGCAGTCCCTTGCAAGGCCTGGACTCCTGTCTGTGTTTAATAGTAAACTTAAAGATCAGTGTTAAAGAAGGGAAGTTAAATTCTCATTTTCACTAATACCCCTTCATGTCATTGTGCAAACACAAGGCTTTAGTGAAAATGGTTAGCAAACAAAAAAATTGCCCACCACTTGAATATTACGAGTATTAACTCATGGGGTACCTTCGGTTTCTGAAGTACACCACTATTTCATAAGATTACCGGATGAACAAAATATACTGCATTATTCTTCTGGTTACAGACAATGTGCTGTCAGATTTAACAACTCCACAGCTGCTGCAGTGTCAGAATGTGTGAGGCTGCCTGTGTACAGCTAATCTGCCTTGTGCTATGCGTAATGGACCAGTTTTCCTCCCCATCTCTGACAAACATTTGTGGAAGGGATTGGATTAAGTTTCTAGTTAAGATTGGCTGTGGCAACACATCCCTGGTTACTATGATAATTAATGCAGATGACTTTGTAAAGCTTCAGCTAAAGAGGAAGAATGTTATGGATTTGTTTTAGTGAAGTTGTCTTAAAAAAAAAATTAAAATGTAAGTTCATACAGCGTATGAAAATACTGAAGATTTTTGTGAGTTATCCTAGTAAGCTTTGGAGTGCTTTTGAAACGTAAAGGATTTTAAAACACATCTGTCAACACACAGTGTTTTATTGACCTGCTGATGGAGGTCTCCACCATCTCCAAGTTGTCAGTGAAGCCAGAATTCCTGCTATGCTTCTCTTCCTTATCTCCTTTCCCTGCTGCCTCCACATTTGGGCCCTCCCATATGTGAAGTCAAATCCTAAAGATCAGGAGGTTTTTTTCAGTCTTCTAAGACACTTGAGTTTCATTTTCAAATGTGTTGTGCAGGTGTAGCTGGACCCTCGCTGCCACTCTAAAGTAATGAATGACCTGTGCTGCCTATTGTCAGTTTATATAGATGGGGACAAGATTTTTGTAAATGCGGAGATGCATATTTGTAAGGCATATTTGTATTTGTATTTTGTTCATTTGTATTTTGTTCATCCGGTAATCTTATGAAATACTCATGCATATTTGTAAGTACACCAAGCTATCTTGATGCATGGGCTTTTTGGTTCCTTTCTCCTATATTTGGGCAATGGAAAACCGGTGCCAGCTACCTGGTTGGGTAGCAGCCGCCCTCCATCCTCTGCAACCCTAGTCTGTTTAGATTGAAGCATTCCTCCTGGTTGCTCCGGCAAGTGCGATGCTCTTTCTGTTTGCTGTCGCAACGCTCTGCATGCTGCTTGCTGCTTTCCCATTCACCCTAGCAGACTTGTCTTTATCCTGTTTGTTCCTTTGCTGTCTGGGCTTAGGCTGGGCTGCATTCCGTGCCTCCTACTCGCTGTGGGATTATGGAGCACAACACAGTAGCTACTTAAGTTTGTGCCATTTTTAGTGCTGAGCAGTGTCAACTCTGATTGCCTTGCTTATAACATGTAACTGATGAAAAGGGGAGAGAGAAGAAGATGCCAGCTTTGACTTGGCCCTCATGAAGCAAAGGTGTTTTTAAGGAAACTGAACTACAGTAGCTGTCTGTCTGCCTGTCCTTTGAGTGTTAATGGCAAAAAACCCCAAACCAAACCAACAAAAAGTCTTGGGGGTCAATGAACGCTGTCAGAACTGCATCTCCTTTTACTGCGGTGTAACTGGTAACACGCCATGTCCTAATAGGTGGTTTTGTTTTTCCTCCCTCTTCTAGACGATGGACAGAGAGTTCAGGAAGTGGATGAAATGGTATGGGAAAAAACATGCAGAATACACAGTGAGTGAAATTCAGCTGAAAAACTTTCTGATCCATGCTGATGTACAGAATTTGCAAAGTCCTCTTCAGCCTTTCACCAGCCAAGCAGCAGTATGAGCCATATCTGCTTCCTGGCTTTTGTCTTGATCCCGAGGATGGTGTTCTCCAAGACATCCTCCCAGGCCCCTCTCTTTGTCTTGCTTGACATGTGGTATGGTGTTATTGGGGCACTTTCAGGTCTTTTCAGAAGCTCTTGGAAGATTTATTCTTCTAAAATATTGTTGTTTTAACTGGGGCTGCCATGTGTCTTCTGTTTGTATTATATCTCTTTTTACTTTTTTTCCCCTCTCTCTCCCTGTTGTGGGGGTTCTGCTGGGCAGACTATTGAAAATGGCAGCTCTTCCTCGGGTTTCTGAAATCTCCTGCTAGAAACAAAAGCCGAAGCTTTGGTTCTGCAGGCAGGTGAAGGTGTGGTCACCTGGGGCAGGTGGTGGAGGGGATGGGATGGCAGGGTTTCAACACTGGGGAGCATGGGCTTGAAGTTCTGGATGAATGCCAGCACTGTGAGATTAGAGCAGAAAACTCCAGGGCCAATTAACAGGATAGATGGTTTGTAGTTGGAGGTAAGGGGTGGGCTGTGGGCTCAGGAAGGGTGGTGGGTGGTTTGGAATTGGGTGCTCTGAGGGTGGAGGTAGAGCAGGAGGAGTAAATGGGTCGTCACGGGGCATCTCTCTGCTTGGGGCTGGGAACACACGTTGAAATAGCTTTCCCCTTCCTCCGACTGTTACTTAATCGTTGTGGATGTGTTTTGCACTCTGTAATGATGGTGTGAAGCATGTGCAGAGTCATACACTGTCTTGTGTCATTCCTTCCCCTTTTCCTTTTCTCCCCCTTCTTAAACATCATTGAGAAAATCTGCTCCCTGGTTAATCGCTTTCCTGTGAGGAAATGCCTGTAATCATAGTACAATAGGAACCCACTGGCAGTTTTGAAAATACACGTATTTATGCTTCTCCTGTCACTTTGCTATGGTCAAGGACGAGGCTGGATGGATCGGGGTTGTTCCCTAATTGCCCAGAGAAGCTGGGTCACTCTTTCCTGCTCAGAACTTGCAGCTAGCAATGCGTACTGCCGCTGAAGTGGGAGCAAGCGTTTGGGGAACTACTTCTTCGTTTTCCTTTTGTACAGAGCCATTATTGCTGTGTTACTGGAATGATTTTAACCACATGGCTTTCAGCGTTCCAGCAGTGTGGGATCAACTGGCAGGTGGTAGATGGCCAGTCTTTATTTCCCAATTTTCTGTGTCTGCTGGGATCTCTGGTGCTGCTTAGAGGGCTTATCTTGGAAAGAAGGATGCTACAACTCTCCCTTCGGGAAGCAGACTGGAGAAGGTGATAGTGCCACCTGCCTCTGTGCGCTTTCTCCCTGAAATGCCTTTACAGTATAGCATGATTTTCTTCCGAGGGATGCTGGGCCTGCTGGGGGACTGGTTTGTAGCAGGATTGATATCAGCCTGCTAACTCTTTCCTGCTGTGGAAACACTGTGAATGCTTTACTTTTCATGAAGTGGCCATATGGCATTTTTCCATTGTGTCACCCAGCTGGCATTACATGAAAGGAATTGTTGCTGAAGATACTCTGCTTATAAGCTGTGCAATTTAAAGAATAGGATAGGAACTTGGACTAAAATATTGAAAGCATATTGATTGCCGTAGGCAGCGAGCATTTCCATATTGTGCATTCCAAGTGACAGAGTCTGGTACTATATTGAAACAAAGCTACTTATTTTTTGCTAGGTTCTTTGGCTTTTAGAACTGTTTTCTGAAAAGTGTTTAGAGTGAAATTTCTCTTGAGTATGCAGTCTGCTTTTCTGGGAAGAGTTGAACACTTGCAGCACTGCTTGTCTTAAGGAAAAGTTGCTTTCCTATCACCTTGTCGTAGTGATGCTTGAAGATAGATTTTTGTCCTTTTACATGTAGACACACAGGGCAGATTTTATTTAGTTTTTATTGCTTCATCAAACATCCTAGGCTTACGTTTGCGTTTTTTGCCAAACAGTATATTTTCTTTAGTAACTCCTTAGACAGCATCTGCTGTAGGTGACTGTCGTTAAACAGAGGGCAAACTTGTCTCATAATGCAGCTAGCAGACACTGGAAGGCACAGAATTAAAAGCCTGGTATCTTTATATTTCTGGAAAACAACTTTGTCCCTGCAAAATGCTTAGTGGGGTCCCAAAATTCCAAATGTTGGAGACAAAATAAGCACAAATTGAAATAGTCTGTCATCAGACTGACTTGTGAATCCCACTTGAATCAGCTTGTGAATTCCACTCTAATGTTTTAGGCAGCCATATGAAAAATAAATATTTTGAGAAGAATAAAGTGTTGGAGGAGGGAAGCTTGGCAGAAGTTCAGTGGGAAGAAGTCTCAGATCCCACCTGCAGCTTTGTCTGAATAGCGTGGACGGTGGTTTTGACTTCATACACGTAACAGCTGCCTTGCTGTAAAAGTAAAAATTGGGCTACATAAGGCAGCAATAAATCCTGGAGTTGGGCCTGCAGGGTTGTGGGGCTTTTTTGTTATTGGTTTTTGTTTTTTTTTTTTTTTTTTTTTTAAACAGCCAAGAGCCTACTACAATTATAGGGTTCCAATACAAATGGGTTTTTGATTTCTCACTGAAAAGTGATCTGCTGCTTAAGTCTTGTCTTTTAGTTAGCACTGTTTTGGTGAGGCAACACTTGATTGCCCTTACCAGCTCTGCACCCATCAGATTCGCTTCCTCGCCTTCCCCACCAGAATATTCTTGTTACTGCTGGAAGTTCTGAGCTTGGACACATGAATTCTGATGAGCCAGGTCCAGTGACAACATTTAAAATAAACCCTGATAGTCCCTGCAGGTATAGTTCCATTCTATTTTGTCCGCAATCATAGAAAAAAGTCTCTTTTGAGAAATGGTTCTGTACAAAATACGCAGAGTCAGATCCGTGCAGATCTTTTCAGCGAAACAAAACATCGTTGCGTAGTCACTTTCAGATGATAATTGCATGTTAAACTTCTCCAGTAGCTAGTGGCAAGGTGTCCCGAGGTGTGTTGGATGCCTAAGGCTTCTGCAGAGCTACAGCTGTTAGTAAGGGGTCATCGCGGCAGCTTTAGAGTGGGAAGATCCATTTGGGGCGTGAAAGGAGTGGGAGAAAGGTTGCTCATCATACGTTGGCTTGTAAGTCTCCTGATCTCCGGCCTTTGTAGGTAATCGTATCTCATAATCTTGTTAAATGAACTGAGTTTCATTTTAAATGATGAGCTGTTCAATCTCATGATTCTAATTGGGGAAAAAAGCCCCAAGAGAGTAACTCTGATAAGAATCTTTCTTAGTTTTTATATTCAACTGATACGTTTCAACTTGCTGTAAATATTTACATCCCTGTGCTGTTTGTATGGTTGTTGATGTCTAATTCCTGGTCAGTTAGGGATAATCGTATTCTTTGCTAGTCTTCTCTTTGGCATTCAGAGGGAATGCATTATACTTCTAGGGCTTTTTGCATCATCATCAGCTGCTTCAGCTTTTTGGACTAGAATGTCCCACTTCCAACACACCTCACTTTGTTTCAACTCCTTTTAGCTTCTTGTTTCTCTTCCCATGGAACTGAGAAGTTTCTAAGATTAGCCTTACCCCGTTCTTTTCAAGAAAACTCTTGTCTGAAGGAAAGAGGAAACTTTTCTAAGGTCATTAGGCCTAGATAATTAGAGAGTCTTTCTTGGGGAATTTCTGCACATGTGCAGTCATCAAATTAAAAGGCGGTATTGCAATTAAGAGGCAGATGGGTTTTCATGGTTTCTAACTGTAAATATCCTCAAGTGGCCTCAAAATGAGAGCCATCTCCAGGTATCTGGGGCACAATGCTGAGATTGCCGTGTAGCAGAAAGTGCTTAAGTGCTCCTCCTGGGGTACCCTTGAAGAAAGTGTTCAGAGTGTCCTCAGTGCCTACTACCTGTTGTACTCTCCTGCTAGGGGAAGGTATTCTTCCAGCCACGGGTTAGAGTAGGTCTCTGCAAGCGAAGTTGGCGGTAGCTGCAGTCACACATTGGACTTCTGCTGAAGACAAGGATTTGCTTTGTTTTTGTTTACTCGGAGTTGTTACAACAGAATACCTTCCCCTGTTCCATGAAAGCTTGTTTTAGCAGTAGGTGGGAATCATCTGCAAGTCTTCAAAATAAGCGCAGGAAAACACAGGGCAGCGTTGCTAAAGGCTGGGATTTTGGCTGGATGGACATCTCTGACACATGTGCTGTCTGCTCAGAGGAAACCCCAGTAGCTTCTAATTGCTGAAGATGCTCTGTGGTTCAGCCCCGTGCATTAGAGGTGATTTTTGTTGTGCATAAGTCAGTGGAAGCCTGGCATCTGTAAGCTTGCAGGCTTATCTCTGATTGAGTTTGGAGTACCCTGTCTGGCTTGTTTTCCTGGAAATCTCTGTTCTGAGCAAAACCAGAGTGATCTGTGTAGGAGTTTCATTGTCTCTTCTTGCCTGATCCCAGCTGCTGGTTTGTGGGGGTAACTGACATCACCTGTGCTTAAAAACTTCCATTGCTCAACGGTACGCGGCAGCTGAGGAAAGGGCAAGATATCTGTTTGTCCCAGATATTTTTGAATGCCCTATTTCAGCGGGAAACTTGATGTTTTGGTATTTGAAAAGCCCTCCAAACGTCCCCTGTGGCTTTGAAATGATGCCACATTTTGGAGGTTTGGATTCATGCCTTCGGTTATTTTTGAAAAGAACAGGAACCTAAAAATAACCATGTGTACTTTTCCAGGCAGAAATGACTGGTTTTTGTGAGCCAAGTGTTTGCATGGAGGCTGCTGGAATGTGGCATTCTGCGTGTGAATTTACGGCTTTGTGTAGCCGGTCAAACAGAGCGTTACCAGAGAGACTCCCAGCCCAGCGCTGGGGCGAGAACGGAGCTCTCCTCCGCGGCGGAGGGGCTTGACCTTCATAAACTGTTGCTCTGCTACGTGATGACTGCAGAGCCGCTGGAGTGTACCTCTTGTTGCTTCCCCCAGGCGGTGACCTGCCGGTTTTCCTCGAGTTACAGGAATCGGATGCCGTTTAGCGTATTTCTGCAGTCTCTGTAGAGCAAATTTATCTGTTTGAAAAACCTGAATAAAAACCTGTTTTGGCCTCTAAATTTAGAAACAGCACAGGCTGGCAGCTCTCTGAAGTGGATTTCACTGAGCTAATTATCCTTTTAGATAAAGCACATCTCCTGCATTGTCTAATCAGATGAAAATATCTGCATTACAGATGGTCCCTTCCATTCATTATTCACTAAGGAGATTAAGTTTCGCAGAGAGAGGAGGAACACGATGGGGGTGGGGACACTGGGGGGAAGAGATTGAGTGCATCCCTGTAGCTGTCACCGCTGCTTCGCATGGGCGTGCCACCTTCTCCTTACGTGACCGTAACGGACCAGGTTCTTCTACTGGTTTAGCTACTGCAGCCCTTGGCTAGGAGTTAGTTAGCTGGAGTTTCCTTACCAGTTCTTCTTTCGCTCTCAAAATTATTGTAAAACACAGAGTTGACTGGGATTTGGGGGGGATTTTGTTGGATTCCCTGTGCCAGTTGATGGGAAAGGCCTTACTTCCCTCCTTTTAGGCCATTGTTTATTGATCACTGCTCCCCAAGCACAGTAGGTGAAGAAACTGGTCGTCAGGAGCAGTCAATCAGATAGCTCTTGTACTCTGTTCTGAATGTAGCAGACCACTGATCCAGGAATCACTGTCTTCCTTCCAGAGGAGAACAAATAACCGATTTTCTCCCAACCACAGTTGACCATCTGGTTATTTCTGTACTCCAGTATCCTGGTGAGATTTTTTCCCTCAGCTATTGGCTAAGTATGAGCTAGGGTAGCATTACAATACAAAAATAGATGGGTTTAAACAGGGCTGTGGTTCATTTGAATTTTCACATGGCTGTATCTTCCAAAAGTAGACAGGAGGAAAAAGTGTTCAGCCTCCATGTGTTAAAGCGTGGAGACTTTGGTTATAACTGCGCTCTTCCTAACCACATAGGCAGGACAAACATATAGTGTAACTGCGTCCAAATAAAGTATAACAGCCTCTTAAGGTTAGATTTCAAGACCTTTATATGAAGCTTAGTATTTCAAAACAGTTTCATGTTACACTGGTTCTTTGTTCTCTTGCTACACTATGGCTTTATAATCATGCTTCCTTATTTTTCAAATGTTTTTCTTTCTCCTGTTAGTCTATGAAAACCTCATGTAGACATTAGAAACTGTGGTGTGGAGGACTGCAATATAGAAGCTGACTTGCAAAAATTGTTGTAAAATATAGTTGCCTTGCATGTGGGTTTTCTTCTACTGTGTCTTGGTTACTCAACCATGCAACTATTTATTGCAAGAACAGATAAGACTTTGAGACAAAATTATCTCTTAAAAATAATCTAGAGATGGTCTCCCTTCACAAACAGGGCATACAGAGCTCCAGAAAAAATGTTTCTGTGTATGAGGTGAGAAAAACTCAGTACTCCTTAGATTTTGAAAATACCTGGTAGTATGTTGTTCGGTTGGATCTCTCTGAGTTAAGTCTCCAACATACGCTTTGTTTTCACTATAGCGGGGATATCAAAACATGCATCCTCTCCCAGCAGGTGTGAGAATACAGGGAGTAATTCTGTTTTAAAATCTTATTTCAGCCTAGCTGTTTGGTGGAACAGATAATTCTGACTAACTTCAGTTATTCTAACTTGCTGTTTTGAGCGTGTTTAGTTTCTAACACATAAGGCTCTTTGCAAAGTTCTTGATCTCTTGCCCAAGAACCCTCGATGTTCCCTTTTCTCAGCCCTCTTGCGCAGCATGTAGCAGCAGGGCATTTGGACGACTTCTTGGGTTTTTTTTTTTTTTTTTTTTTTTTTTCCCTTCTTTCCTCCCGAGAAGCAGACCCATTCCTGTTGGCAACTGTGGCTTTGCCCTTCACAATGGCTCAGACAGGTTTACCTCCGTTCGTCATCCCTTCCGTGGCTCTGAGTGGCGTCGGGCTGCTCTGCTGGGAAGAGAAAGCTGCGGTGGAAGCCACCAGGCTCCGGTGCTTCCCTGAGAGGCGTCCTGGCTTAGGCAGTTCTGTTTGAGTTGTCACTAAACGAGAATAAGTGCTGGCATGTGAAATGCTCACTTCTTTCCATACAAAGGAATAATATGCAGAAAAAGGATGCTAAGCAGTCACTGTCTTTGCTTTGATGTTCCTGAGGTTCTCATATAAGCCATCATCTTACTTGTCCCTTCAAAGTGTGTCGTCATCATCATTAATTATATAGGTGCGTATTATTTTTTCTTTCCTCCTCTTACCTTCCTCCCCCAACCCTCCTGTCTTACTTGTGGCACAGCAAAACAGCATGGCCCATAGATTCCTCTCTCATTTCAAAAGCACGACTGAGAAAATGTTAATCTGTGGAAAAGCTACGTAGTTGTGGATGTTAACCTGGGACTTGATGTGGTTTCATCAGAAAGGTACTATACAAGTCACTGAAGCTGTAACTATATTTTCAAATAAGGCCTTTATGTTACTTGATTTCTGACTTGAACGTGTTAGAAGCATTCGAGACTTATATTTAGTACCATGGAAGAGTCAGATGCTTGTCTGTCCATTGCAACAAGAGCCTGAATTACAAGCCAGTGTTTCCAGCAAGCGCTGTGCCGAATCTCTTTGCTCCGGTTCCCCCTCTGCTAAGAGGGGCTGACCGGACCACAGCGGTCAGCGGGGACTTGAGGAGGCATGTGCTGATCGTTTCTGGTACGGGTTCTGTATGGCATTGCTGGCTTCTCCATGGAGCACAGTCTTCACAGGGCATTGGTGATACCTGGAGACCCTTCCCTGTTGATCCCGTGGCAGGAGAGCAGCCGAGGGTGGGAGCAGAGAGGGAGGCACCTCCGGGACCCGAGGAACAGGCAGAGCCAGCTCCTGAGCTCTGGGTGCTTCGTCTCCTCGGTATTTCCTAAAGACTTCGCTTGGCCTTGTTTGTAGTAGTATCCTGAGCTGGTACAGCATGCTTGGCCTTCTCCAAAGGAAAAGGGATACGGAGCAGAAAGGAACAATGTTAACTCGTGTGTGTGTGTGTGGTTTTTTGTGTTCTTTGTCTTTTTTTAAGCTGGAAAGAGGTGACTTCCTCTCAGAAGAATGGAGAGAGAGAATTGCAAACACAAGGTACAGTACAGCAATTGAATGCTGCTTTATGAACTGAATATTTGGGAGTTTGTATAATGGAAACTGGGAGGCTGGCCAGCTTTTTATATAGAATTTCCATAGCAAATACCAAAAGTCTATCTGCCAACTTTTATACTGGCCTCTTTAGATCCTGTTTTCTGACTTGAGGAATGGGTTTAAATGCACGTCCCATGATATTACATACAAGGGTGTATCCAAGATAAATTCTGGCTATACAGAGAAGTATAAAACCTCTGTTTGTTTTGCATACCCTTGTAGTTCGTGTCAGTGAGTCTGGCAAAACACTGGTTATCCTGGCCATTGGTGCATACAGCTGGGCTCACTTTCCATTTAAAAAAAGCAAAAGACCCAAGTGGGTCTGTTCCAACTTAAATTGGGAGTTCATTTAAGCTGATTGTCTTGAAGATTATTTCTATGAACATCTGCTCAGAGGGTTAAACTCCTTTTTGATGGTAGCAAAAAGGGAGTAAATTTGTTAAAAGCATAAAATATTCTTATGTATTTTTAAAGGCTTTGCCTTCTTTCAGCCTTATGGACAGGAAAAAAAGTCTTTATTTTTGTATGACCTTCTGGGCCACCCTGTTATGTGGGGAAATGGAAGACAGTTGTCAGAGAGGGCTCGTTGTGGCAATCTATGGATTGCTTCCAAGACACTGTTTTAAGAGCACTCCATCAAGAAGGCGTCCGCCAGGCTGATGACTTTTGCATTATTATGTACCTCACTTAAACTTCTGGAGGTGCCTTTTAATTTGTGGACAGACTCGTCCCAGCCTTGCAGCATAGCGGGGTTTTGGTTTGTTGCTTGCTATTCCAAATGCGTGCTCCTCTGCTGTCTGTGCAGCTTTCCTTGGAACAATTTTTTTTTTTTTTATTTTTTAGCTGAAGTACATCTAACTGCATGCAGAAATGCTGCTAGATGTTTATTTTGTATGGTATGCAGCTAACTGTATGCCTGCTGCTCCACAGCCACCTTGCTGTCCGATACAGAAATCCAAAAAGAAGTAGCTTTTTGCTCACAACTGTTAGGTGTTTGTGTTTGTTCCGAGTGTGCCAACTGTTCAGCGTCTGCTCTATCTAATGAGACAGCAGATTGTCTGAGGAATTCACATTGGAGCCATCCAATCTTACAGCGTGAGTTGAAGCGTCACCCTTCCCGTGAGCGTCGCCCGGCGGCCAGGCTCTGGAGGGAAGGGTGCGTTCGTACCAGAACACGCTTCTCCGTGGCCGGGTGCTGGCGAGCTGTGCAGCGCTGTGGATAGCTGTGCTTGCGGCTTAGCAATACGTGCTGAAAAGAGGGCTGAAGGCAAGGTGGACTGGGGGCTCCTGTGCTTCTGTCATGTGCGTGCAAAACATTGTGCCAGAGTGAACACTAAAAAAAAAATCTATCTGGCAAGCCATGTCTTTTTCCCTTCCTTTCCTGGATGTTTTCTAGTCCCGTTAATATGCTTGGCTCTTTTGCAAGGCCTCTTTTTTGGCACGTGGTGGGAAGGAGGAGGAAGAAACCCCTGCTAGCCTTACTTGCTACGCCTTGCTCTTGGAAATTTGGGAAACCCTGCCTGGCAAGAATAACTTTTTTTTTTTTCTTGGTCTATAAACATTTTTTTTCATCCGTGGTTTTTAATAGCTTTGGCTGCTGCTCTTAAACTCAGTGTCCTTGTTGAATATGTTTCATGTGTGGAGGCACCAGGAGGGGAGTTTGCAAACAGACCTCTTGCAAAGAAATCAGTTCTTCATGTTAAAACAATATGCCAGAATGGCTTTCACAGTTTGTGTGTGCAGGGTGCTCAACGGCTTCCAGGAGATGTTGAGGACTCTTGGTGCCAGCTGGTAGGAAACGGGCACCGGGCACAATCAGACCAGGCCCAAGCTCTTAAAAACAAAGGGGTATTTCTTTTTAAGTTGTGATGTGTTCTGTTTCTTTCCCAAACATTTTTATCATTTATGTGATTCTATGTGCAGGTTTCTTTGTTTCCATATGACTGCTTTTTTTTCAGGAACAAAACCCCCTCATTGGATTTCCTAACCCAGAAAGATGCAAATCCTCCGTTGTGGGTTAGGGTGGAGTGCTGGGTTTAGGACAGGAGAAACGTGCTGAGAGATGTCAGCTGTCTTTGGGGAAATTTAGAGCTAGAAGAGAAAATATATTTTGATATTTTGCTGTAGTATTTCAAATGCACGTGAAGAAGTAACGGGATGAAATGTGCGTCTGTTGTGTTGGAGTGTTGTTTTGCATGTGTGGATTAACTGCTGTGAGTGTGTTGGTAGTTGCTGTGTTGGTGTTTGATCTCACCGTGGCAGAGGGGTGAAAACACTTTGCACGTTGTTTTATGTTGAAACTTACGGTGCAAAATTCAGCTGTATGCTGAGAGGAGCTGCCAGAGCAGGATGCCTTTAACATTTTTTTAAATGTAATTATGTGGGCAGTGTCTGTGAATGCTAAAGGTAAGGTACTGTTTTCTGTCACTATGCAAGCAGAAAGTGTTTTGCTAGATGGAAGAAGCTGTACAGTCAGGGACAAGCGGCATTTTTTGGTTTCATAAGTGGCTGCAAAGGCTATAAGTGACCGTGACTTGTGGTGGTGGTGGGCGGTTGTGTGTGTGTACTTGGGTGCCATTTGCCTGTCTCTGTTCATTAACTAGATCATTATCTTGCAGTGTTATTTTTGTGAATAATTTTGCCTTTGGTCCTGAGGTGGATCACCAACTGAAGGAGCGATTTGCGAACATGAAGGAAGGTAACAAATCGAACTTAAAACCTTTTTCCATTGGTTTCCTGCTGGCTGTGGGAGCTGGTGGTGGTAAGGGCTTAGTTACAGCCATCAGAAGCCAGGTTGGTGGGTTTCGTTCTGCGCCTTGCGGGCAAGCCTCTGCACCGCAATGCTTACTTCTTGGGCTTTTTACTTCCCGTCTTAGTATCTACTCAGACCTACCTGGTTACTTGGAAGTAGCTCTGCATGTGAAGGCTCTGCAGAGCTCTGCTGGGGTGGGAGGAGCGGCCGGTCCCTTCTTACCTGTTACGGGAGCCGACAAAACGTGCAACGGTCAAGACTGCAAAGCTCCCTGACTGCACAGGCGTGGCTTTGTATATCCGATTTCTGTAATTGCACACTCAGTTCGGTTACTGGGTTCTCCTGTGTGGAGTTGTCACATTTAGTACTGGGTGTTAACTAATAAGTATTAAAATGGGGACACTGTCACTGGATGTCTCGTGTGCTTCTTGGGGAGTCGCACTGCAGACGCTAGTGACCGGGGATGCCCAGTAACCCCGCTGTGGCCCTTACATTGCCTGAGGTGTCTCCTTTCTTTCCTCTTAACCGCTTGGATAAGTAGCAATTCTATTTGGTTATGGCAGAAATTAAAAAAATAAGTATTTCTGAAAAGAAAAATGTGTGGCATGAACAAAGAAGCTGTGGCTTCCCATAGTACAGCTTTGTGCTGAAGTAAATAATGTCACTTTTGGGCTCTGTTGCAAACCGTAAAACCCCCAAACTCAAGCTGTTGTCTTTAATTCTAGTGGTTGGTTGGTTTTTTGTTTGTTTGTTTGTTTTTTTTAAACTTTCATTTAGTGGTGGCTTGAGAGAAGCGGCAAGGTGGGGAAGGTTCAAGCGCCCTTTACAAAATGAAGAAACCTTGGTTCTCTTCCCAGAAGGTGCTCGGGCTCTGTGCCTTGGGCCGAATGACCGCAAATAGCTGTGAAATGGAGATTAGCGTTCTTTCAAATAAAAGGGCTTTGGGGGCTTGTGTATAAAAGACACTAACTAGGAATGAGACAGTGGTGTTCCTAATTGAATTTTCTATAGATTGCCACTGAGAATTAATGCACTCTTTTTTTTTTTGAAGTGTTTTAAGATCTGTCATTTTAAAGTGATCCTTGAGGTGTCACCTCGTAGCTACCTAGCAGGACTAATATATTGATTTCTCGGATGCTGTCAGAATGAGCTTTAAGTATTTGTAATGATATTCAAGTGGTAGTTTTATTAGGGCTGCTCTTTAGGGCTCTGTACTGGGTTATATTTAATAAGTAGTCATTTCTAGGAGAAACAGTGGTAGCTGACTTTGGCTTGTTTTTTTTTTTTCTTTTCCAGGTGGGAGAATTGTGTCCTCAAAACCTTTTGCACCTCTGAATTTTAGAATTAACAGTCGAAACTTGAGCGGTATGATTGCCCTTTTTATTGTTCATTACAATTATGGTGTATTCATTAGCTGAACATGTCCGTAGTGGGTTTTTGTTGCTCTTTAAACAGTTGTGTAAGTAAGTAGAAAAATGCTATTGTATTATTACAGCATACATGCCAAAGTGACATGTATTTAAAATCAAACAAACAAAAAAACCCCCACCCAACACTGGAACAAACAGACAGGTTGTTATGGGGTTTATCCCGCTGCGTTTAGATGTCTATAATGTCCATGTTTCCCTGGCTGGGCATCTTTTATAGTCGAAGAGAAATAAGGTGTTTCAAGGGTATGATTCATTTCTTTAACTACAAAGAGCTGCAGTGACTAACTTGTATGCAAGTTCCTTATACCGTAGCTGTCTAAATTTGGACAGGTGAATCTCACAGGTCGTGATTTGTAAGGCTTAGAAGCTGAAATGTTCAACTCTAAATGCCTTCTGTGCTGTAAATTGATCAAACAGACCGACCCCATAAACGCCCAGTTGCTGTGTCTGTTTTATTGCCAACAAAGTTTTGTGTTTTTCTTCTCTTCTGAACATAGCAGACTTGATATTTGCCAATGTTGTCCTTTGCAAGTATGTGAACTGCAGCTTAATGAGTTTTTGAGATTACTAACGCCCTGTGTTGTTGGTTTTGCTTCTGACCTTTTTTTCAATTTTTATTGTTGAAATTTTTCAAGCAAAAGAACGATCCAAGCTGGGTTTTACACATATTTACTGTCCCCAATGCAAAACATTCCCTAAATTTAAAAAATGCCTTATTCCCCTCCTTGTGCATACATGGCAAGGAACATACTGAGTTACAAATCTCAAGCTGTGTTTTCTGTTTTTGGCCTGACACTCATGGTAAACTGCTTTTCAAGAATAGTAATTTGAAGACTGTCATTAAGGCATTTCACTGAAATAGTGCCATTGTGAGTTACTTTTACTAAGCTTGAATTGTTGTGAATGTCCTGTGCCTTGGACACCCAAAACTGCCCTTTTCCGTCCTGTTTGATACTCTCCTCTGTGGCATCTGATTCTTGGGAACCTTATTACTGTTGGGTCCTGGCTTGCCAATCCTTTGTGGACATGTACTTGAAAAGAAAAGGAAAAAAAGGCAGAGTGGTACTCCTGGAAATCCTCAAACCTCCCGAGAGCTGAGATCAGTCTGTCGGTTTGCTGATAAGACAAAGAGCACCGAAGTAAAGCCTACCACCTCTTTTACAGCACACTAGAACTAGATGAAATATAAGGTGGCACGTCTGAGGTTTCAATTAGGAGACCTGCCTACGTAAATACATTTTTTTTGGCCTCTCAAGCCTTTTCTTTCCTGGCTTCTGACCATTTCGTTATCTCTCTCTTTGCTAACTTTGGGAGACTGCAGTTAATAAAAACGTGTTGGGGAGACAAAGGGGCCAATGTGTACTACTTTTTTAACCTAATAAAAGCCCGGATTATGACTACCAGTTGAGCCAATTCGTTATCCTATTTCAGCTTTCACCCCAGTGTGAATTCATTGGGAATGTTTTCTAGAATGCTGAAGTTTTATATATCGACTATTATTTAATGCTTAATGTGAATGTTGATGTTCAAAATTATATAGAGGTAGCCAATTAAAATTTGGGTGAATGAGATTGCTTAGCATAAGAATAGATAATAGCTTCCGCTAACAGGAAACTCTTCCAGGGATTCAGATAAGAGGTCCTGAAAAGAAATTACCTTTGTATGCTACAAGCAGCAAGGGAAAATTGTGGGAATAAATTTTACATCTTAATCCCATTCTGTGACCATACTGTATTCGGGAAATACCAAGATCAAATGAGCATGCATGGGCTGTACTAGGCCTGGGGCTTGTTCCAGTCTTAATGGCCTGTTCGAAGCGACGCTTCCAGGGAAATGTCATCCACTCACAGCTCGTGGCATCAAACGTGGCCAACGTCCTTCACGTGCAGGGAAGGTGATTTCACTCTGCCGTGCTAGCTTTACGCTGCTGCCCTACAAGATTTTTCATGAGACTTTTATTTAGCGGGGGCTTTTTTTTGTGCCCGAGTATGATTCGAGTCACGTGGCTTGTCTGTCTATCTGTAATGTTTTGGTATCAAGTATGAACAGTTAAATAATTTAAAAAATATAGTGGAAAAGATAAAGCTTTAAGAAGCAGGCAACACTTTTTCTCAATACCGTTTTTGTCCTTAATAGTTGCATCTGGCAAAAGAAATGGAAATGTGGAAAGAGTTGGGGCAAACCAAAACAAGTATTATAATGTGGTTAAAATAGTGGTTCAAGTTGCTGAATCCTAAACCTTGCTTTTTGACTCTTCTGGGTAATTTTCTTTTTAATTAGAATAATTTCTTCTGCAGTCATGCCACTCACTCAGTGTTCAGTGGTTATGGAAATGCTTAGACACATCCCATGCCTATTAATTCTAGGGAACAAAACAAATGTAGGCAAGAAAGCAAATATAAACCATGTTTGTCCCCAGTCCAAATATAGTGCAGTTACAGTTTACATGGGTTGGATCTAATGACGTTCTGTTACTGGTTCTATCTAATTAAATCCTGCCTGTTACTACAGATGTGTTGTCGCTGGTTCCTTGTGAAAATTGTCTCTGAGACACACGAAAGTTTCATTTGTTAAAAGCTTGCACTAGCACATAATTTTAGTCTAGAATGGCTGAATGTCTCCGAAGAAATGAAAGGTAGATCTTCCAAATTTCTTAGGCTTTCTGTAGGGTGCACATAGCAAGAGAATAAGAAATTGCCTTTTAAACTCACTGCAGTGCTTTCTTCTGGGACATTGCTGTCTGAATAAAAAAATTATCTTTTTGCTTTGAATATGCCTTTACTGTTGCATGGCGAATTTCAGCCGAGTAGAACTGAGTGGCAAACTGAGCGAGCTTTGGTTCCCTAACTTGCCTTTCTTCCTTTAGATATTGGCACTATAATGAGAGTTGTGGAGCTATCACCACTGAAAGGGTCGGTGTCATGGACCGGGAAACCAGTTTCTTACTACCTGCATACTATTGACCGAACCATAGTGAGTATAAATACGGGCCAGTAAATCTCTGGAATCAACATGCCAACTTCAGATCCTTGTTCTTGGGAATTGTTTTCATATTCGTTTGCGTATTTACAGACCTGGAGCACACCTAATGGGAATGGGTGCACTTCCCCAGTTCAATCTGTGCGGATCATACTGCACGGCTTAGCCTCTGGCTGCTTCGGTGCAGCATCTTACACAAACACTGCAGTTACGGACAGTGCTATGGAGCCTGTTCATTTGTTGAAGGTGCATAGATTTACAAGTATAATTCCTTCTCGTACTCCAGAATATGCAACTATGCAGAACGGTGGTCTTGTGCTATAGCTTCCGCACTGAGTAAAGACTCGGTGGGTCTTTAATTCTTTGGTTTGCTATGTGGTGTACAGACCATTTCATTCTATCATATTCAAGCAGTAAATCTCAATTTTAGTTGAACTTTCAGTTGCTGTAGAACCAGCCAAAGCTCCATAACAATGCTGATGCATTCCCTGGTTTGTTTTTTTTTTTTTCGGTTGAGACGGAAACAACCCTGTAGAAATGTAAACTTTTGTGGAGAAATAGTTTATTCCCACACTGCGTTTTTTGCAATGTGATAGTAAGACTGTTTTTTCTAAGTCTGCTGTAGTCTAATAATGCTTTTGTTGAAGAATATGCTAGAGTACAGATAAATATTGTAGCGGAGGACGAGAGTGAAGTAGCTTCATTGAAAATAACCTTCTGCTGAGTGGAGATATGTGACACAAAGCTTTGAAACAAGGATAGGCAGTGGTGAAGATGATAAAACCTTGTTGAGGCTTGGATTATGTCCTGCTACACAGCGTGTCTGTGTCGCTAAAAAGAATGAATGTCAATGGCTTCTTGATGTAGCTTATCAGAAGAAAACCAGTCAGAATTTCTGCAGTTCTGCATTTGTCTTAAGTGAATATTTTGTTCTTATGTATTCGTCTGTCGTGACTTTGAAAATGACTATCTTATCTTTCTATTTTCAGCTTGAAAACTATTTTTCTAGTCTCAAAAATCCAAAACTCAGGGTAAGTTTCATTTTTTGTAGAAAACTCAAAACGATGGAGCAGCTACTATGAGGAATTTAGTCACTTGTTAAAGATGGACAGAATTGTTGGAAATCAAATTTTCTTGATAAGCACGGAGCGTGGGCGTGGAGCTAATTGAAGTGAAGCATCATATACCATCAAGCACTAACACCATCATGTTCAAGAGCTTTCTAATAGAGAATTAATGGGGCAGCCACAAGGTGCTTTTCCCTTGCATTGGAGGTCTGTAAAGATCTATTTGTTCGTTAAAGAACTGAAGTTAAAGAAGGAAATGATAGTTTGAATCTGTCATGAAAATGAAGCTGAAGAGCACTCTGAGGTGTTACTTCTGGGACACACTATCTGAGACATGAAATGTGTTGTCAGTTGCTGCAGTCTATGCTATCACATTTGGAATTAAAATGCCAGAGGATTTTTGAGACCGTGCTGGGCTATATTAATCTGAAACAACCGACGAGGCTGGTATTCCCAGTAAGAGAGTTAAGTGAGGCCACTTAATTTAAAACTTCAGGTGAATGTTAGTCTTCCGAGTGACTTGCTTAGTAAGTGTTGAAAGCAGACTAACGGTAGCTTTGGGATCGGGTTGTTTCAGACTGCTGAATTCAAACTTGGGAGAAAAGAGACTTCTCAGAGTCAAAAGAAAAAATGCAGAGTGGCATCCATATACTGTTGAACTTCTCTGCTTTTAATGGGGAGGCTATTTAAATCTGCCATTTGTACGGTCTAGTTGATAACTTGCTTAAATGGAAGTGTTGGAATTGCCAGAATTCTTATGCAAATTAAACCTCACCTGGAAGGTACAAGAAAGGCTTTGAGTGAGCTCTTTGAAATTTCCCGTCCTTGCTGCCTAGTAGAAAATCAAGCTTAAAAGTTGCTTTTTTACATCTCCTCTACAGACTTGGCTAAACTTGAATTACATGATGATTAATGGCTTTGCCATTTCAAGTCATGTAAGATTTTTAAATTGATGTAGCAATACGTGAAATATTGGGGGTGTAGGTAAAGCTATTGAAATATTTAATAGTTCTTTAAAAAAAAAAAAAACAACCAACCAACAAACCCTGTAACACCAGTGTGTGATCTGAGGGGGTGGAATTGCGAGGGGCAGAATAAGGGAAGAGGTTGGGGCTTAATCTCCTTTGCCCTGTGGCTGCATGTTTGAAACCCCTTACAGTAGGTAACGCAGTGCAAAAGGATGACTTGGATTTATCTTCCTTTTCCCACTGAGTGTTGCCTGAGGCAGGGCAAGTTTTTTCCCTTACTGGTAACAAGTTGTTTTTTTTTTTTTATTAATTAGGCATTGTATGATAAGAGCACTTACACCTAGCTCTTGTGGAAGATTAAGCTGGGAAACACTGTGCTCTGTATTTAAAAGTGATAAATATATGAGCAAATTCTTAAGTCTTTTAAAACATTTATCCAGGAGGAACAAGAGGCAGCTAGACGTCGTCAACAACGAGAAAATAAGAGCAACACAACTACTCCAACGAAGGTTCAAGAAAGCAAGGTGAACATCCTGCATTTTCGTAGAGTAAATGTGTTTTCTCTTTAGCTGTGCATCTGTGTCAGGAAAGGCCTGATTCTGTGGAAAGATTGTGTTTGTTCTGAACATGTAAACTCATATAGCTGTTGCTGTGGACAAAAATATGATGGAGTGACTTAATAAAAGCAGCACTTGGGAATTGCACCACTAATTCTGGAAAAAACGTATTGCAAGATGAATAGAACAGTTGGCTGTCCAGCCTTGCTTACCTTCAGCACCAGCTTCCAGAGCTTCCCCTGAGTCATAACCTATTGAATGGAGTTCAAAGGGTGCTGAGTCTCTTTTGCAAAGACTCATTTCCTTTCTCATTCCGTTGCATCACACCGTTAGAAATGCAGTGACTGTTCATGCACAAAAATAGAAAGTATTGAATGTACTTTGACTTTTTAATGAAATTCAGTTGAAGAATATAGTCAATACAGGGTGAATAATCAGCTTTTCTTAGACAACAGTTAAAGATTTCCTTTTCTGTAATGAGTAAGTCCAGAAGAGAATGAGCACAACTTCTTGGGTCTGGGGACAGCTCTTATCCCAAGCAGGCCTGTTTCACTGGCAGGTTATTTAACTACAATGCATCAGTTTGCTTTCATAACATTATTAAACAAACAAAGTTATTAATGCTTGCTTAAAAGGAATGCTGCATATGTAGGTAGAAATGACTAAAGAGCTTTTGGCTTTTAAAAATCTCTTAGGATTCTGGTGCTGAAGAAGAAAAGGCTGGGGCAAATTCTCTTAAAAAGCCATCTCCCTCCAAAGCACGGAAGAAAAAGCTAAGTAAAAAAGGAAGGAAAATGGCAGGCAGGAAACGAGGACGTCCCAAGAAAATGAACACTGCAAATACAGAGCGCAAGACCAAGAAGAACCAAACTGCACTAGAACTTCTGCATGCTCAAACTGTTTCACAGACATCTTCATCCTCTCCTCAGGGTGAGTTCAAGGCTGGCAGTGGAAGAAGGCTCCCCCTGCCACACCAGTGTAGACAAGTATCTGAGGCTCTGAACGCATGCTTGGAGGTCATCTTTCCTTTATGGCTAGGTTTAGTTTGGTTTTGTGTCATAACTTCTCCCTTGCCACCAAAGCAAAGCTCCCCTTGAGATGGGGGTATGCCCCTGTGCGAAGACGGTGATTGAATCTGTCTGTAGGTGCTTGGCCAGAGGCTGGAGCTGAGCTGCGGCTGATAGCTTCTCTGCTGCTGCTCTTCTAAGGATAAGCTGTAGATGTCCTTCCAAGCAATTTGTTGCAGGGTGTTGATCTAGCTAAGTTACTGGATCTTGCGTTGTAAATGACATGCTTTCTAATGGTAAAGTACTTGCCAGAAACACTGACTTTTGCAATCTGAAAGGTTATCTTTGTTTCTCTCTTTAGATGCATACAAGTCACCTCATAGTCCATATTACCAACTACCTCCTAAAGTGCAACGGCATTCATCTAACCAGCTACTGGTGACACCTACCCCACCTGCACTACAGAAGCTGCTAGGTAAGGCTGTAATGTTGTCACCACGTTTGCCATGGGAACCTCTGCTTGGAGAGTAGAGAGAACCTTTACATATGGTAAATCAAAGGGCCACTTGGGAAGCTGTGTATTGAACAGGAGAGGGGGATAGCTTCTCCCCCATCTTCCCCCGCCTGCCCCGCTTCTATTGGCATCACCACGAGGTCTCTTCTCTTGCTTGCTGCTGAAGTTGATGTCGTGGTCTGCATTTGTTTGTTGACATTGTTTCAGCTCTCCTTTGGCACAAAAGGAAATAAGCTTGGATTTAGCAAGAATCCAAAATAACTTTAAATGGAAATGACTAGTCAGAAATAACTTCATTTTAAATGAAACCATTCTCTTATTCTTAAATGATGCAGTCTTGGAGAACACGACTCCGTTTGCTCTGCAAAACTTCGAGCAAAGTAAATGAGATGCTGTCTGAGTTTTTGAGGTCATAAAGGTGGTGCGGTTGGAAAATATGCTCCACGTGCGCGAGGTGATTTAGGGAAAAACTTGGAGAAGAAATTGGTGGTTTTTTGGGTCTTCTGGTTCCC